TTTTTGACCTTATATTTAAAAAAAAACTTTTTTAATAGTAAGGGACATTTGAATTATGTTCTCGCCTTTAATTTAGGGACCCATCTTTACTAGAGATATTAGTTAAAGATAGGTATTCAAGGCAATAAAATAGTTTATACAATATGATATATTATATATTATTTGTTTTTTGTAAATATTTAATAAACAGTACATACTTGTTTGACTATAGGAAAAAAAAATATCTTATTTTTTGTTTAATTTAAATAATAAAAAATATATATTGTAAAAAACATTTATTACAGTATATACTGTATAAATATAATAAATTAAATATTAATTTTCTTATAAAATTATATAATTTAAATATTATAATATTATAAATTTTGTAATTAATAAAATTAAGTTAAATAAATTCTAAATTTTAAATTAAATAAATTATTAATTTTATATTTTAATAAACTATATTTAAATTAAATTAAATTAAACTTTATATTTTAATTAAATAAATTAATTAAACTAAATTAAAATTTATATTTTAATAAATTAAATTTTAAATTAACTAAATTAAATTCAATATATTTTTTGAGGACAAGACCAGCGATATTTATTTATATTTCCTTTGATTATATGGTTACACGAGTCTAGATCACAATTCAAAATCCAAACATAATATCCCTTTTTCACCACCAATATTTATGAAGCACATATGTATAGTCAATAATTTAACTAATAACTAGTAATCATTTATCTTTTTTTTTTTCAAGTTTTTAAAGATTTGTATGTATTAACTTTTATTTTTTAATAGGTTAGGATTAATTTATTTTATAAAACTTTTTTATATATTGGTAACAAACAAAAGTTTAATAAAAATCTTTTGTATTTAATACTTATTTTAAAAAAAAAATTTAAATTAAATTAAATTTTGATATTTGGTTTAAAAAAAATTAATTTTTTATATTTTTTATAATGATATTTAAAAATTTTAAATAATTAATATTATATAGTAATAGTATAATAAATTTATTCTTTTGTAATAAAATAATAGTTAATAAATAAATAATTACATGAGTAATATAATAATTTTAATATTAAGAATTTGAGAATTATATTTAATCTATAAATAATTTATTGACAAGTATTTTTTTTATTTGAAATAGTTTAATTTTAATATAATTTTTATTGTATTATATTGTCATACTATTGTTTATTAATAAATATATCAATATACAGTTTGATTAGAAATAACTTTATATAATTAATTATTGACAAGTAATTAATTTATTTAAATAAAATAAGAATCTTATATTAAAAAACTTATTAATAAATATTTTATTATTTGAAATAATTTAACTTTAATATAATTTTATAATATTGTATTGTTGTATTATTGTTTTTGTATATCCATTAATAAACACATCAGCATACAGTTTAATTAGAGATAAAAAAAAAAGCAATTTTATATTAAGAATTCAAAAATTAAAACATTGTTATAATTTAATTGCTTTTGTTAAATTGTATTAATATTTTTGCATATTTGAAAATCTTTGATTTCTATATTTGTTAAATTAATTCGTAAGACTAACCATTTAACGGTGATCTGCGTGTGTGACAGAAATTACATAATAAATATATCAAAACCCTGGAAAAGTTTGTGCGAAAAATGACTACGGTTAAAGTGTAATTTTCGTTTAAATTTCATTTTACTTTTTGTTATCAGTCCATATTCTTACCTTCTATATTTTAATAAAGACTCGTAGCAGGTTCAGCCAACGGAAAGCTTAATGAACTTTTTAACGGAATTACTAAAATCAATACCAAATATGGTCCCTTTGATTTACTATTATGTGTTGGGGATTTATTTGGGGATAATTTGGGCGAAATAGATTCATTGATATCAGGAGAAGTGAAAGGTGAGTGGAACGTACCTTTGATCAAAATTTGTTATACTGGGTGTGTATATTAAATCACACATTTTTATCTTTTCGCATAGTTCCTATCACGACATATTTTATGTATGGCGAACACGAACTTCCTGATGCTGTAAAAGAGCGCGTTGAAAGTAATCAAGGAGAATTCTGTTCAAATCTTTATTATCTTGGTAAATCATTGTTTCATGGTAAATTTTATTACTATTACCTATTACTTACATTACTACATGGTTTGAATTCAAAAATACAAGGTCAGCAAGGTAGTATGACTACTATACATGGAGTTAAAATAGCGTTTGTTAGTGGTGTCATGAGTGCTATGGTGAACGATCTTCCATCGCAGGTTGACATCCTTCTTACCTACGAATGGCCAAAATCTATTACACGACTTTCTTCAACGTCTGTTCCTGATGGCATAGAGGGTTCGGGAATTGTCGCGTCATTAGTTACAAAAGTTAAACCGAGATATCATTTCGCTGCAGCAGAGAAAATTTCATTTCTAAGGGAGCCTTATCAGAATGCACCTTCGTCTAATTTAGCCAGCGAAATTGATGATACACAATTGCAATTCGGACTTCCTACATGGTTTGTTGGATTGGCAGAAGTTGGTAATACGAAGTCGAAGGTATTTATTTACCTCTATTGGAAGTGCGTCACATATTTTCTACTTTTAAATGAGCTTATTATCATCTTCCTTTGTCTAGTGGTATTATGGTTTTAACTTAGTACCTTATGTGCATTTACCACCATCTAATTTTATCAACCCACCGGAGAATATGACGGAGTGTCCCTTTTTTCAATCAAGTACAGGACAGAAAAGAGGATTTGGCGAAATACAAGGGGTGACGTTATTAAAAAAAATTCATACCAATTTTTAGTTAACTATTAAAATAATATAATAATTAACTCGCGCGCAATCTTTCATTATTTAGGATGGTAATTTCTTTTGGTCGACCCGAGATTCGTCGGAACAAGCGAATAAACGTGGTCGCCGCAATACCCAAGGTAGTATATTTATATTTGCATATGTATTCCACCATATTTTTTTATTTTTATTAAGATATTCATATATGAACCTTAGGTCCACCACCAGAGGGCTATGTGTGTAATAAGTGTAATCTACCGGGGCATTGGATTAGCGAGTGTCGTGGCGGGCAACCAAGACCACCTAAAAATTATGTTTGTAAGAAGTGCAATCTAGCAGGAGTTCACTTCATTGTAGACTGCCCAAGTTTTACGTGCAAATTATGTGGCGAGAAGGGTCATACGCCTAAGAATTGCTCAAATTCAAGTGCGATAAATAAGAAAAGTAATAATGCGAAATCAGGTTTGCACTCTTTATATTTACTGCTTTTATTGCAATTTGAAATTTGAAGAAAACCAGAGATTTATTACAAATAATCTTTTACTTCCATGCAGCAGCTCCATGTTGGTTTTGCTTGTCGAACCCTAAAACAGTAAAACAGTATGTGTTCACTTTAGACTATTGATTGTTTTAAATTGTGATACTTCATATTTATTATTGTTTATATATATTAGCTTAATTTTGTCTGTTGGCAATGAAACTTATTTATCTGTAAAGTATAGTGTTTTTTCAGTTGTTTTTTTTTTTTCATTGTGACAATATACTAATATGATTATAAATTTTCAGTTAGCTAAGGGTAGCCTGATAGATACTCAAGATCCCTCGGTGTGTATTGTACCCGGAGGTGGTCACGTATTGATTGTAAGTGTATTACATACACCTAATAACTATATACAGTATATAGCTCTTCGTTAATTATAATGTCAAATTTTTGTAGGTTGCGATATCTCATTGTTCATCTTTTCGTGAGATTCCAGTTGAGGACCGACTTAACTTGACAGATGAAGTTGAAAAATATAAAAGTTCGCTGAAGAAATTTTATCAAGCCTATGGTGCAGGAATGGTTCTATTTGAGGTTTCTTTACAAGGAAAGAAAAACCAACATTGTCATATACAAGTTGTCCCTGTTCCATTGGAGCACGATTCAGAAAAAATTCGTAAAGCATTTATTGAAGAAGCTTCAGCTAGCGATTTGAAACTGCGCCCTGTTCCATCACCTGTACCTATAAATTGTTTCAAGGTAGATTTTCCCGATGGTTCATCTTTGGTTCATGATATTAACCCCAACGAACAATTCGATGTGCAATTCGGAAGGTAATTGAATATATATTAATGTTCGGTCAAGTGACTGAGTTGTGCTTAAGGGATTTGCGTTTATTCATTTAGGAGGGTTCTCGGAAAGTTATTAGGGTTATCTCATCGTGTTAATTGGAGGGATTGTCAATTGTCCGAGGAACTTGAACGTACAGACGCAGAGAAGTTTATGCAGGCGTTCATGCCTTACAAACCAATGATTCAAGACAATTTCTGAGAGGTTTGTTTATCATAGTTCATAATTCAATGATAGTTTTGATGCGGGATGTGATATGTTATTTCCGTGAATTTGTATGTTTGTCTATTCGAATGGCTTTGAAAGAATTTGATGATCAGGTGAATATATGGTGTGATAAAAGTCTATTTATAAGATAAATTTCTAAACGCAATAAGTTTATCTTCATTTTCAAACACATACATTCAGTAATTATATTTTAATAACCTTTTATTAGTTGTATTTACATTCAATCGATTATGGTTTCCAAAGGGAAATGATACCATCATCTGCGTATGTTGCCAAAATATTAGAAAACGAGTGGTGCGAAATGCCAATTATTTCGGAATCCGATAACTTATGGGTATTAGGAAAAAGTGTAAACATAACTTCAAAATTTCCAAATATATAACGCATAAAAAAAGTTACCTTCAATGTTGTTGTTAATTTTCCATTTTGAACATTAAAACAATATAAATTTGAGTCCTCCGCTACGCAATAAATAAATTCGCCTTGTGGTGAAACCGTACAACTTAAGAAGTCACCACCAGTTTTCTTATCGGATGTAAATGTTTTAACAATCTAAAAGGACAAATATAACATGTAATTAACAAGCGTATGTAAAAGCTTGATCCCGTTTATAAAAACATACCTGTCCTCTCACATTTATCAAAAAGATTGTTGAACTCTTGTTGCATACTATAATTTGATCCATGTTTTTCGGCATCTGAACAACACAATTGACGGTCACTCCGCCTGAAATAGTCGCAGTCGCCTGTTCTCCGCGAGGCGTTATCGTGTGTAAACACTCTGTCGATTTGACATCCCAAATCTAGTGGAAGATACATTTTCTGGTTATAATATGTTTTTTTTTTCTTAATATCTAGATCCGGAATTTTTCGTTTTACAAACTTTCACAGTTCCATCGCTGCTAGCACTTATTATTTTTGTCATATCATACGAGAATATTGCATTGTTAACAAAAGATGTGTGTCCCCTAAATTCTTTTAACGTCTTCCCCGATTTTAGTCCATGGAGCCTGATTCACATATATCATGAAAAATTAACGAAAAACAACATTATTAAAACAAATACACAAGTAGTTTCAAATATTATTACCTAACAGTATGATCAAAACTGGAACTTAATACTTGACTGCCGTCACGGTTAAAACATACTGATGTCACCCCTTGACTATGTGCTGGGGAGAATCTCCGAGTACAATGACCTGTGCTGATTTTCCAAATCTAACCAAAATTTGTGAAATTTCTTTAAAACATTGAAAATAATTGTTAACAAGCTACTCGTTAAACTCTATGCTCAGACCTTTATGCATCCATCTTGTGCGCCTGAAGCTAGCATTTCGCTATCACGACTAAAACTCAAGCATAAAACTGGATCTTCCATCATCATAGGGTTATCCTACAATAATTCGATTAGAATGATCCTTCATAAATATTTATATCATTTTTTCATTGACAAGTATTTAGCTTCACTGAAGACGAACCTCCACTTGATATTTAAAGTCTTTCCGAATTTTACCTGTCAAAAAATTCCATATCTCAATAAAACCATCTACACTACCGCTAACCAAATATTGCCCATCGGGAGAAAACGCAGTTGATTCCGCGTGTTGCTTTTTTGGGAACTAAGTTTGACAAACGCGACATTAAGTCAAAGGGATACATAATTTGAAATGAGATAGATAATGAAAATAATATTAACACCTTAATAGTAGTATAACACTTTGTGGGAACCGCGTCATCTTCCGCTTTTGCCGTGAGAGTAGAACCTCTAAAAAGGTCAAAGGCAGCATCCGGTGGGAGCAATCCCTGATGCTGCTGCCATTTCAGTGATTGTCCAAGAAGTGAGAGCAACCTTGATGGAGGCACAACGGTCACCTCGTTGGACAAAGCTTATAATAAAGCGTAACGTGTGAATTGCATATTAAACTAAAAACAGTTTAATTAAATCGACATACCTTGGGCAATGGTCTGGCGTCTCTTCTCTTTCGTCACTCCAGGTGGGTATGCCTGTATATTGCCCGAAAACGACATATGTTTTAAAATTTACAAGAAATACATATAACCTTCAATGCTATCTTTCAAACCTCTTTAGAATCAAACCAAGTCCGAGAAAGGAGATGTTCGAGATGTAAATAACGTTCAGAATAATGATCCCTCAAGGACTGCATTGGATCGGTCTGTCTTAAAAAGGTCCTTGCCGCACCCAACTCACGCATTTCTATAAGTTCCAATACAATCTAAAGATTAAGTCATTGGTTATACGATTATACGATTACACGAAATACCAGGATCAGAAGCACAATAAACTTTAAAAACCTGCTCGTAAAGATCAATTAGCTTTCGCTGGGGGATTTTCAGGTTGGAAACTGTTTTTAGAACAATATCCCAATGTCCTTGAATAATTTCATTTGTAAAGGCTTCTATAGATTCGACGGTGTTTAGAGCGATTGTAGTTTCTTCCTATGAGAAAGTTTATTTTCCAGTTCAATTTCAAGGAACAAAAAGCGAACGCTACTTTAACAAACCTGTAAGGCTGCATAACTGTTCGGAAGGTTATTCTCTTTCAAAAATTGAAGGATTAATCGGATTATACTAAACAAAAAAAGTATTGGTAAGCTTGCTCTAGATTCATTGGAACAAAAAAAGATGCGCTTAACTAACTCTGTCGATTCAATTTCCATAGGTGAGAAAGTGAAGGATAAATTTGCGTGTTTGAATGAAGATAATCTCGATGAAATTACACAATGTAGTGTAACAAACATGCCTAAATTTCAAATCCTATATAAAGAAACTTGTCAAGAAATTAATTCTAAATTATTAACAGGTATTTTTCTTCTTGAATTAGCGATATTCAATAACCTTTTTTTTTTTCATTCACAACCATTTACCTCATTAATACACTAATGTCTTCTCGCCGTTTCCTATCATTTGTAACCAGAAAAAAGTTTTTCAAAATTAGTCTTAGTAATAAAACTAGTTCAACCATTTATAATGGATATCACACGTGGCATGAGAAGAGTGAAAGTGTATTGCCAAATAATGTCGACACAAAAAGTGCCCAATTTAAGGTATTCCATGAAATTTCTCAGTTAATCAGCCCCATATTTTGGAAAAAGTTTATAATTATGAATTTCTTTTCTCAAGGAAAATTCCTCGAGAATGAACGAATTAGTAAAAGACTTGGAAGGAGTTGTTAAAAAAGTTACTCTTGGTAAACGTTCGATTTCATCGCGAACTATTTACTGTACACCACATTTCGACGTCTGATACCCAACATTATTTAGGTGGTGGTGAAGGTGCGAGAAAACGTCACCTGGATCGAAAAAAGCTTTTACCTCGCGATAGGTAATAATGTGCGTTTCCAAGGATTGCTATTTTTCGTAAATCGGTTCAGATGTAGATGCATTAAATTAACACCTGTGATAAATTTTCAAAGGATAAATCGTCTGTTGGATAACGGGTTAGAAAAAAATTTTTTTTTTTTATTTAATGCAAAGGCTTCTTATTCTTTCGCTCATTCTTATTTCCTTCGCACGTATCCAAAGATCGCCTTTTCTCGAGCTATCTCAGCTTGCTGGATACAAATTATACTCGGAGGAAGTGCCTGCAGGTGGAATAATTATCGGAATTGGTCGTGTCTCGGGGTCAGTATATTTGTCTTGTAAAAAATATTTGACTTTCGATGAAATCTCAACAAGTTTTGTACAGTGTGGAATGCATGATCGTTGCAAATGATTCAACTGTGAAGGGTGGGACTTACTATCCGATTACAGGTATGAAATACACCAAATCTTTGTAACATTAGTCAACAGTTGTTTTTAACTTTATTTATCTACATCTAGTCAAAAAGCATCTACGAGCACAAGAAATTGCTCGCGAAAATAGACTTCCATGCATCTACTTGGGTAAATCAAAATTATATATATCGATCTACCATTCTACCATTATTGTTATTAAATTTTCTTATCTTTCTATTTCTTAGTCGACTCCGGAGGTGCCAATCTTCCGCAGCAGGCAGAGGTTTTTCCCGATCGTGATCACTTCGGACGTATTTTTTATAATCAAGTTTGTAATCAAATTATTTATCGAATTTGGTTATCTTAACGAGATTCGTAATTAATAAATATCGGAAAAAATTACATAGGCGACCATGTCTGCTGAAGGGATTCCACAAATAGCTGTCGTAATGGGGTCGTGTACAGCAGGTGGTGCCTACGTTCCGGCAATGGCAGACGAAAGTATTATTGTGGCAAAGCAGGGGACAATCTTCCTCGCAGGCCCACCATTGGTCAAAGCAGCAACCGGTGAGATTGTCTCTTCAGAAGAGCTCGGGGGAGCTGATCTACACTGTAAGACTCAACCATTTGTGCATGTGCTATTTTACAAATTGATTTGAAAAAATAAAAAATAAATTTTTTTTTGTTAGGTCGGACCTCGGGTGTCACAGACCATTACGCAGTAAACGATGAACACGCTCTCCAACTTGCAAGAAGTGCCGTTGCCACGCTGAACTGGTCAAAAAGCTCAAAGGTGAGGGATCCACAAAATGCAGTATTGATTTGATTTTATTATCAAAAAGTCATATTTCATAGTCATCTTCAGCTTTTTTTTTTAATAAACTCAGCTCAACGTAAGAGAATATGAAGAACCCTTGTATTCTGCATCAGAGCTGGGTGGTATTGTGGGAGACAACCTACGTAAATCATTTGATGTTAAGAATGTGATTGCACGTATTGTGGATGGAAGCCGATTTGAAGAATTTAAGGAACTTTACGGAACTACATTAGTTACTGGTAAAAACTTAATTGAATTCATTCCACGAATGTTTCATCGTTGATATCATTCTGACATTATCCATTTATTTAGGATTCGCACATATTTATGGTTATCCGGTGGGAATTATTGCGAATAATGGGATCCTATTCTCAGAGTCAGCTTTAAAGGGTGCCCATTTTATAGAACTCTGCGCACAACGAGGTGTACCTCTTATTTTTTTACAAAATATTACGGGATTTATGGTAGGCTCCTCAGCGGAAGCTGGCGGGATTGCCAAAAATGGGGCGAAAATGGTCACAGCGGTATCATGTGCAAAGGTACCTAAACTGTCAATGATTATTGGCGGTAGCTTCGGAGCCGGTAATTACGGGATGTGTGGAAGGGCGTACAGTCCCAGATTTTTGTGGATGTGGCCGGTAAGTAAAATTTTTACCAAATTTATAATTCGATAGTCGATTATCCTAACTATCGATTCGAATGACTTATTTTCAAAAGAATGCGCGAATATCCGTTATGGGAGGAGAACAGGCGGCAAATGTTCTAGCTCAGGTCAGACAAGATGCGAAAGTGAAAAAAGGTGAAAAGGTAAGGATTATTCATAAACTCGCTTCACAATATCGACCCACTAATAATCTATAATTCCTTTGTTAGTGGTCGGCAGAAGAAGATGAAGATTTTAAAGTTAAAATACGAGAGAGGTATGAACTTGAAGGTCATCCTTACTTTTCGTCATCTCGTCTTTGGGATGATGGAATTATAAATCCTGCTGATTCGCGTAAGGTTCTCGCTTTAGCGTTGGGTGCAGCGCTAAATGCCCCTATTGAGAAAACGCATTTCGGTGTGTTTAGAATGTAGATATAACAATTAATATACATTGGTGCTCAAAATTATTTGAACAAAAAAATTCTTTTAAATTAAAATATAAATAATAATAATCAATTTTATATTATGATTAAATAAAAAACATAAAAATTTTAAATTATAATTAAATATTATAAAGATAATTTTATTATTAATATTAAATAAAATTTTAAAAAATTAAAAACAATAATTTTACTAAAAACGAAGTTTAATTACAATCAAAAATTGGTTAGCATGTATTACATATGCACATAATTTTTTTTTAATTATATATTTTAATATAATATTTATTATTAATTATTATTACTACAAACATTATAAAATTATAATCAATTCTTTTTGTCTAAAAAATTTTAATTATTGTTGTATACATTTAAATTATAAAAACCAGTATTATTAAAAAATATACATATAAACTTTATTATTAAATATTTATCAAATCTTTGAAAAATATATATAGTATTTTCTTAAAATAATAAAATAATAACAATTTTTTATTTAATTTTATTAATTTAATAGAAATAATTTAAATTTCAAAATTTTTTAATTATAAATATATAGATTTATTAATTTTTTAATAGATATTATATCTAATTGAACTTTTTTTTTATTGTAACAAGTATTAAATATATTTTATTTAATTATTAAACTTTTCAATATATTAAATAATCTTTATAATAATAAATTAATTAAAATTTAATATAAGATAAAAAACAAAATAATAAAAATAAATATTAATTAATTACTAGGTTTATTATTAATTATATATATAGTATATATATTTCAACAATATTAATAGTTTTTTTTTTTTTTTTTTTTTTCCCTCAATCAGGTTGGTGTCATTTATTTATTAAATCAAAATGAACCATTACAAATATAAATT